AATATTGGGGGGGGGGGTAATTTCCTGCGTCTAGTAACTTTGCTGATGTCAAACACTGTGTCCAGAGTTTAATCACTAGCACCATTTCGGATGCATCGCGTCGCGCAACACTCCTGAACCGGGCACCGAGGCACAAAACTGAATAATTTACTCTGTCTAAAAAACTGTAATGTGAACACGCATAGGGTTTACTAGGGCTATTTGTTTCTTACTGTTGTGGCTTTGATGTCTTATTGTCTGCTGGGCGTCGTTTTTGTTTGTTTATACTCACAAACAGTGTCATTTAAACATGTTATTCAGGTGTAACAGTTGCAACTTTAATTTTCATCTCAGTTTAGAGGTACAAATTTGTTTAGAATATGTCATATTGTATGATATGCGAAGGGCATTGCGTTATTTACTATCACAGCAGGGAATATTTCACCATTGTACTTTACTCATCGTTCGTTGCTTTGTACTGCAGCGCATTTTATCCACTGCAAGATACAGTAGTCCTACGGTCTGTTTCGGAATCTCAAGCCAAGACTACTACCTACCCCACCGAGTGATTCCATTGAGCAGTCCATACTGCTGTCAGGCTCATAAACAAAACTGAAAGACTACAAAGTAATGGAAGAAGTAGGGAAAAATTGAATAAAAGTTACAGAAAGGAACGCATCACAATAGCACTAATAATACTTGAGTGATTCCCCTGGAAAAGCTATTCAGGTATCGGACTCGTCAAGGGGAAGAATTGAAAAGGATTTGAAGAAATATAACAGCTGCAAAATACCCTGGGGAGAGAAGGAAAAATAGGAATCTTATATAAAAAGAAAAGGACTATAAATTACTTCTTCGAGTTGTCGTGCGGCTGCCAGATTTCATCTTCCTTTCTGAAAGAAGGTAAGACTGCAAAGAATTTAAAGAGGACTGGAAATGTAATGAGGGAAATTTACCAAAAAAAGAAGGATTACAGTGCTGAATTATCTATGCTGTCGGCAGATATAAACGATATTGAACAAGGGAAGCACTGCAAAGTAGTTGAATATGAAGAAGGAAAAGGACGAAATTTATGAGGTAATTCACAAAATAATTCGTCCGCCCTCAGACTCATCAGCACATGTTAAAGTAAGAGTTGATGCAAGAACTACTTGAAAAAGGGGGCAAAAGCATAAAGGTACTTATCGGAGTGATCTGTGCTGTTGTTAGACTTATCAGGCACACTCTGAGAGAGACTACGCAACGTGCTGAAGAGGAAAAAAAGGACAAAGGGAATCTCCCAGTGAAGGAAGGGCTACATAGTACTGCTCAGAATGATCCACGTTTGAAGCTGCTACGTTGCTCCCCTCGACACTTCCTCAGAAAGACACGAGACGGCCTAACGGCTGGCGTAAATAAATGGCATCTGTGTCTTTCG